AATTTATTATAAATTGAATCAGCAAAATTATTTACTATAAAGTTATAAGATACTATACCAGATAAACAAAAAGCAGATAGATAAATGGAGAACAAAACAAATGAGTAAAAAAACAAAAATGATAGAATTAACAAAAAGATATTAAGATAAGATAAACAAATAAATAGGTAAACAAACAAAAAATGGGTAAACAAACAAAAAATGGGTAAACAAACAAATGAATAAACAAACAAAAAAAAAAGTAAACAATAAAAACAAAAAAAACAAACAAACAACGCCTCCCTCCCTCCGACTCCTTAAGGCGAGAGTTGAAGTGAGTGAGTGAGTGAGTCAGACCCACTTACTCATGAGGCTGAGTCGCGGGCGGTGAGTCGGAGCAGAGGCCGGGAGGGAAGGCCTTTGCGATCCAGAAGTGTGTGTCTGTCTGTCTCTCTTTATCTATTTATTTATCTATCTACCTCTATGTTGATGTTTAGCTATCTTTTTTTCTATTTCTGTCTATATTTTTTATTTATCTATATATTTTTTATTTATGTATCTATATTTTTTTTATTTATCTGTCTATATATTCTATTCATCTCTCTATATTTTCTATTCATCTGTCTATATTTTTTTTATTTATCTTTCTATATTTTCTATTTATCTATCTATATTTTGTATTTATCTATCTATACTTTTTATTTATCCTACTATATTTTTTCTTATTTATCTATCTATATTTTCTATTTATCTGTATTTTCTATTTATTTATCTATCTATATATTTTCATTTATCTATCGATATTTTCTACTTATCTATCTAATTATCAGCCTATGTCGATCTATCTATCTATGAGATATATGAACGGGAATGAGTATCTATTTCTGGCGGAGAGATATTCGATCAGAATCTCCTGTATCGTGAAGACATTCCCTCTCATTCCCACCTTCTCTACATTTGTCAACAGGGACACGGTGCTGTCCATCTGTTTCTGCCTCACCTTACTCTCATATTGGGCCTTCATCTTCCTCATTTTCTCCTCCAGTTCCTCCAGTCGCCTCCTGCTCTCTGCCTCCTTCGCCGCCTGCTGCCTCTGCTTCTCAGCCTGGCTGTCGCTCTCAGCCTGGCCGCTGCATCAGCCGGCCGCCTGCTGCCTCTGCTCCTCAGCTGGCCTCCTGCTGCCTCATCTCCCTGCCTCTCCTCAGTCTTGGCCGCCTGTTTTAGCTCCTCCTCAGTCTTGGCCGCCTGTTTAGCCTCCTCCTCAGTCTTGGCCGCCTGTTTAGCCTCCTCCTCAGTCTTGGCCGCCTGTTTAGCCTCCTCTCAGTCTGGCCGCCTGTTTAGCCCCTCCTCAGTCTTGGCCGCTGTTTAGCCTCCTCTCAGTCTTGGCCGCCTGTTTAGCCTCCTCCTCGTCTGGCCGCCTGTTTAGCCTCCTCCTCAGTCTTGGCCGCCTGTTTAGCCTCCTCCTCAGTCTTGGCGCCTGTTTAGCCTGTCGCTGTTTAGCCTCCTCCTCAGTCTTGGCCTGTTTAGCCTCCTCCTCAGTCCAGTTGGCCGCCTGTTTAGCCTCCTCCTCAGTCTTGGCCGCCTGTTTAGCCTCCTCCTCAGTCTTGGCCGCCTGTTTAGCCTCCTCCTCAGTCTTGGCCGCCTGTTTTAGCCTCCTCCTCAGTCTTTGGCGCCTTTTAGTTCCTCAGTCTTGGCCGCCTGTTTAGCCTCCTCCTCAGTCTTGGCCGCCCTGTTTAGCCTCCTCCTGGGCCTTCTTCTGCCTCTGCTTCTCAGCCTTGGCCTTCTTCTGCTTCTGCTCCTGCGGGGATATGCATACATACATATTATACACACATACGCACAAGCAGACACACATACGCGAATGATCAAAATGCACATTCTTCCAAGCAATGGAGAGAAGAGAAGCGCAGTTCTTACCTTGTCTTCAGCGCTGGTCGGCTCCGCGGCTCCTCCTTCGCCGGGTGCGCTCTCGTTTGTTAGTTCAGGATGTTGCGTTCCTGTCTCCTTTTTGTTTGTTTGTTTGGTATTTGATTCGTCATTTTCTGTTTCTTGTTTGTTTCTCTTTGTTATGCTTGTTTCTCTTTTGCTTGTTAGTCGTCTTTGCTTTGCTGCCAATTTATCGTTTGTTTCTTTGTCTTTTGTCCCTTTCTTTCTCTCTTGGTTGTTTGCTTCTTCTTTACTTCCTTCTTTGTCTTTTATTTCCTTGCTTCCTTCTTTCTCTTCCTTTGCTTGTTTATTTCCTGTTTCTACGTTTCCTCCACCTTTTTCTTTTTCTTGATTACTTCCTTCTTCGTTGTTTCTTATTCCCTTGCTTGCTTCTCCGCTTTTGTTTTCGTATATTCTTCCTTCTCCTTCGCCATTTATTTCCTTGCTTGCTTCTCCCTCCACCATTCCTTCTTTGCTCATTTTATCGCTTCCTGCTTCCATCCCACTTATCGCATCCTCCTCTCCGCTGCCTTTCGCCTTATCCACTTCCGTCTGTTCTCTGTTCTCCGTTCTCCGGCTATCGTTATTCATTTTC